GGCGGGCAGGGGGCCGCTTTTCCCCACACTCAGTACCAACTTGTAACCTGCTCCGGAGCTCGCGTGCTGAGCAACCCACAGGTGGCGGTGGCAAACACTGCCCCGAGCGGCAAGCGGTGGGGCCACAGCTGCTGTCACCACAAACAGCCCCAACAGGCGAGCCTGGAGCCAGTGTGGGGCCAGGTTACAAGGTGGTGCTGAGCGCCAGGGTGGGTGGGAAAAGCAGCCCCTCCCTGCCCCGTGGCCGGCGCCTCACACTGCACCTGCTTGCAGCCTGCATGGGGCTGCCTATGCCTGCTCTGGACAGCCCCATGGGGGCTGTGAGCAGCTGCAGCAGGGAGCGCTGGCCAGAGGGGCCGCTTTCCTCCACGCCGGGAAGGAGCAGGGAAGGAGCCCGGGGAAAAGCTGATCATGGCAGGGAAAAGTGGCCCCTCCCCTGCCCCATGGATGGCACTCCCTGCTGCAGACGCTCGCAGCCTGCACGGGGCTGTATGGAGCCGGCACAGGCAGCCCTAGGTGGGCTGTGAGCGGCTGCAGTGCGGTACGCTGGGCATGGGGTGGGGCAGCTCCCCCCCCCACAACAGCACTCAGCTTTTCCTCTTCTGCACTCCTTCCCTGCTCGGGGTCCCCCCTTGCCCTTCTCCACCCCCCTCCCCCCCTTACCTGAGGTTCCTGTGCTGCCAGGGCAGCCACATGCTCCCATGTCAGAAGCTCCAGGCTGGGGCTTCTGGCTGGTGGGGGCAGGGCCCGGTGGGCCCTGCTGTTGTGGGAGCCTGCCAGGCTTCCCCTGGGTCCTACTACCCTTGGTTCCTGTAATTTTTGACAGGAACCAAGGGGAGATAAATATTAATTTTCTACATTTTTAGGGGCCCTGCGGGCCGGATAAAATGTCTGTATTTTGTCCACCCCGATCTAAACTCTCTGTACTATATCCGATCTCTTGTGGGAGAACACTAAGCTTGCATTTTCTCAATCCTGGAACTTTTTACATGCACCCAGATACACAAACAAGGAAACTCTGGCAGATCCATTATATCTTATTGTAGTACACTGCAGTACACCAGCTGCAGCACAGAGTTCCCTGGCTGCAATGAGCAGTTATGGATTTTAGGAGTATCAAGTTCATTTGATACTGCCTCCACTCAACAAAGATACTACTAGTAAAACAACATTACCTTTAAATGAGCCACCCAAATACCCCTGAAAAGCCACCTGCAATACAAAAATAAAACCCCTACTGACTGCACACTTCTGGTTGTCACATCAACCCATGTTGAAACCTCTGTGAAAGGTTATCAAACTATACTTGAAGACAATCTCACTTTGAACGGAATATTCCTCAACCCCATCCCACCACCTTCAAGCCACTTCTAATTTTGCCGAGCTCACCATCAAAAGCAAACTCTCACACTAATGTCAAATGGAACAAGACCCTGATTGAATAAAAAATGCAAACCTTGCCAACACATCTTAACACTGCAAGTAACACCTTCCACAACAGAACCATCAGAATCCATGGTTCCCAAACATTTCTAAGACAAAGTATGATATAATATACCTCATCCAATGCACCAAATAGTTTCATGGATACTACATGAGTGTAACTGAACAACAACTGTAGTCTAAAACTAAAACCCATAAAACAACAATACAGGACAAAAATATCCAATCACTGATGGGAGAATCCTTTATGCAGAACAACTACTCTCTCAGTCCCTATCCTCAAGGGAAACATATGCAATACTTTCAAAAGATGGGCCTGGGAACAATTCATAATTTTATTGGATGCTGAAAGTTACAGACTTACAGATGAATGATTTTACAGCTCATTTAAATTTATACCCCCCTCTACTAACCTATTTCTTCAAAGCCCTTAGCATTTGAATGGTTTTACTCTTTCAAATGATCAAGTATCACTCTCTCAACTGGTCTGTAACTATTTCTGTTAAAGTCAGTTTGCTTTTGAGCCTTACTTCCCACTTCCCTTCTTAAGTAACCACTTTCATTTAATATGATGGGGTTAAACAAAAATAATTTTTCTACCTGGTTTTTAGCTTAAACTGTATTTGCTTCTTTCCCATACCTAAGGAGGGGTGTTTTGTGCTCAAAAGGTTATCTAACATCTCTTCCAGCAATACCACATAACATCCCTAGGATGCAACCTGCAGTCCTCCAAGGAAATGCAAACAATGAATTTACATGGAGGAAATTTCTAACAGCATTGAGATTTGTAAATGTCCCAGCAAACCAACAGACAGTGGTCTTGTGCATCAACACAGGCTGTAGCCAAGTAGGCTTCAGAAAATGGCAGGTGGTAAACAGCCCAGACAGTGAGAATTCGCCAGGGAACTGACCGAGGCTGCATGCTCTCTGTCCACGGTTGTCATGGGAGACTTCAACTACCCTGACATCTCATGAGATGAGCACTCAGTCAAATCCGATCAGGTCTCAAAGCTTCCTTACATGCATGGATGAGCTCTACCTGTCTCAAGAACTTTATGGGCTGACAAGAGGTAAGGCACTTGTGGACCTGGTACTAGCCAAAGGGGATGATCTAATCAGTGACCTAAGAATCAAAAGGAAGTTGGGTGACAGTGACCACAAGTTGATCACTTTCACTATCCTTTGCAAAGCTGGCAAGTCAGCCAGCAATACAGTAGTCCTTGACTTTAGGAAAGTTGACTTTCATAAGCTCAGGAGGCTTGTTCTTGAGGCCCTGAGAGGCCATGATTTCACAGGGAGGGGAGTACATGATAAGTGGTTGCTCCTTAAGGAAGCAAGCCTAGAAGCATAAGGGGAGTCCATCCCAACCCATAGGAAAGGTGGTAAAAGGGCTCAACAACCCCCTTGGCTCAGCAGGGAACTCATGGACCTCGTATGTCTAAAAAGAGAGGCTTATAAAGGACAGAAGACAGGAAACACCACTAGGGAGGAGTATTCTGCACTTGTCCACGCGTTCAGGGAATGAACTAGGAAAGCCAAGGCTGCAACTTAACTCCAACTGGCTACACGAATCAAGGACAATAAAAAG